GTGGGCTACATCGATAGTGTGGGAAGGGATGACGTGCTGTATGTACACCTGTCGATCTCCAAGAAAATCAGGCACGGGACAGGACTCTGAAAAGGTGATTCCAGCGTTGCCTAATCCCAGTGGCAAAATACGAGATGAATCCCCAGGTGCAGATCCATAATCATCCGAAGATTTCTCCAGGGCCGGTGCAAGGGTTTGGTTTAGTTTGATTTGGTTTGTTTTACGGCATATCAACCTCATTGGGTTATTTAATGCCTACAAGATTTTTATTGCTGGTAATATTTTTAAAAGAGTTTTTCTGGTAATGTTTTTCTCCACAATATTTTTGATAATATTATTAATGAAAATAATGATATCTATAATAATGTCGTTTTTTCACGTATTTTTAACGTCAAAAAACGAGATTATTACGTCATTATTTTATTTTACCAAACCTAATATTTCTTTTTTCAAAAATGTATTGCAGGTATTTTTCTTTTTCAAAAATGCATTTCTGGTAATATTTTTTTTTCAAAAATGTATTGCTGGTAATTTTTTTTTTCGAAAATGCATTGCTGGTAATATTTTTTTCTGGTAATATTTTTTCACAAAAAGTATTGCTGGTAATAATGTATTTCTAGTAATAATTTTTCTTTGAAAATTTATTGCTGGTAATAATTTTTTACAAAAATATATTGCTGGTATTAAAACCTACTTTTAAACGTTTTGACCACAATTTGGGGGTTAACTGTTTGCCCATAGATGGGACCTTGACAGGTGCTACCACCCCAGGTTAGAGTGGACCTGCGAACACCAGCAATTAAGAGATTAAGAGATCCTCAAAACCTTCTGATCAGAGGCCTTGCTGTTGGAAGTAGTTTATCGTCATACCCAAGACGACCAATGCAAGGGTCCTCAGAGGCCTTGCTGTTGGATGTAGTTTATCGTCATACCCAAGACGACCAATGCAAGGGTCTCGAACCCCTAATATATGTACTTCCACACTCTACTACCATTCAATTTTCATAAGGTTCTATTCATATAAAATACAAATTTGATTGTAACCTTATTATGTACAATAATGGATCATATGCAATATAGGTGAATAATTCAACTAGAAAATTGTAAATACAATATATCTAAATACAAATTAGAGATATGTCATAATATATCATTTCATTTTAAATAAATTAACTATGCTTTGCAGCAATTTTTAACATCAACTTGAAATTGTTCTTATTATAAAGTTGAAGAATTTTAACACATTATGGGTTAATAAAATTGGATTTTATATAGTTTTTTCGAGAGCAAAACAAATTCGCGGATTTTGTCAAAAAGAAAGCATCTCTACTCCTAAAGTCTTCACCTGAATTTTGAAATTTTATTCACCATTTATTTCATTTTACTTGTATTTTTTCTCTCCTCTATCAATAAGAGTAGATATGCTTGCCTATCGTCTAGTTCATACTTCTTCTCGGTCTTTTGAACAGGAGTTTATCCCTTGTTTCCTGTTTAGAATTAGGTTTCCGGTTCCATCTAAATTCTACTTCAAATCTATACTTCTAACGTCTCATCCTAAACTCTGAAATTTGTACTAATTTTTCAAATATAGGAGTAAAAAATGTTCACTTCTCGTTCGGTTCACACTCCTCTCGGTACTTTGAACAGGAGTAAGGGTTGCTTCCTGTTTACGATTGAGTTTCCGGTTCCTTCTAAAAGTCTACGTCAGCTCTATGCTTGTCCTTAAGTACACTAATATAACTCCACAAAGTAGCCCTCTATATTGAGTGTCTCTTGGACCTTGTATTGGGGGAACATTAGTTAAAAAAAAGAGAATACCGTCAAAATCTGCCATTCTTTTTCACTCTTTAATAAATAGTTGTGCTTTGATTATTGTGACCACGTTGTTTTATTTATTTATTTATTTATTTTGTTTGCTTATTACTTTGTTTTTGTCCTTTTCTGTTTACCATTATTTTCCAAGTCCATATCTTTTATACAAGAGCACACATGAAGAAACAATAAAGCAAAAAGATGCGGAAAAGAACAGTTTTTAGGATCGTAGAACAAGTTTTTCGCATTAAAAAAAAAAAAATAAGCCAGTAATCAGTGGGGAAAAAATCTGTAACCAATTGTTTCTAAAAATATTATATCTAAAAATGGATATGAAAAAGTCTTTCAAAACAAGGCAAACGATTTTCTATATTTATTTGCTTGCTTTTTCTTTTCCTTTAAATTGCAAAACTGGTTACATAGTCTCTTTCCCACCATATATATATATATCTCCTATATATATATATATATATATATATATATATATATATATATATATATATACACACACAGTGTGCGATGGGTAAATTGTCGCCATTTTATATTTTTAATTTTGCCCATGCCCGTGGTTTATTTTTTATTTTGTCAACTGCAGAGTATAGTAGGGTCAGTTGGGCATTATCTGTGAGAAAAAGAGCACCATAGCACATTTCACTCCGCCAGAAATTTGGAAACGGTATGCTGTACTGCTTGGCATTCGCAACGGAAGCTCCAATATGAACATTTCAGAGTGTTTTAGTGTGAATCTGATGACAGTGCAGAGGATTCGGAAAGAGTTGGATGAGTCTAATGGTGATTACTATGGTGCTTCGAGTGACTACAAGTGATGGCAACGTTAGGCCTCCAGTCATCTTCCCACGGAGTTTCAAAGTCAACACGGGCGCCTACCAAAACCCGAGGTAGTGCTGCCCTGTATCAAGAGGATGGTTGCTGGAAAACCCGATATCTAAATTTTCCTAGGATTCTGCTCCATGCCACACAAGCAGGAGAACCCAGTCGTGGCTGTCAGACAATTTCAGCGACCACATCACCCCTTACATCTGACTACCTAACTCCCCAGACGGCAAACCTCTTGATTATTATATGTGGGGCACAGTTGAGCGAGAGACTAATTGAAAGCAAAGATTATGGCAGCATTCACCAATTTAATCAAGAAGACCGTTCACAAGAGATTCTGGAGTCGTCTGGAGGCCGATATATATATATATATATATATATATATATATATATATATATATATATGTGTGTGTGTGTGTGTGTGTGTGTGTGTGTGTGTGTGTGCGTGTGTCTAAACAAATGTACTTACATCTTACGTTTCTCTTTGTGTGTGTGTGTGTGTGTGTGTGTGTGTGTGTTGCACCTAAGTAGGTTTGCCATTTGAAAAACAGGAAAACAAATAAGAAGCAATAAATATGTCCATGTCTAATCATAAATAAACGCCCTCGTTGCATATAGTATATATGCCACTGCACACGCGCCTGTGCGTGTGTGTTTGCCCATCTACAATATTTATACGAAGGTGTGCGTAAATGTTTCAGCCCGAACCATATATAACCTCAAAAAAGTACTGTATTTTCTCATATGATGAGATATTAGGAAATAGGCCGAACCTTTGTCACATATATATATATATATATATATATATATATATATATATATATATATATATTAGTAAAATAAATCAGTACCTGATGATTGCATTACAAATTGCACTTCCGGTTGCATCTGGCCGTTTCAAAAGTAAAATGATTTAATATTATTTCATTTTTTAAATGTATGTGCTTTCATGAATATAATTATTTTTCTCCAATATTAATGACCGTCGCCTGACATAGGAATTTTGAGAATTGGATTCTTTTGCGCCAAGCAGACCTCCTTTCCACGTAGAAGGTTCTCTGTTTTTGAGACGAAGTTGTCTTCATTGGTGAATGTGGAAGTAAAAAAAGATCAGGATATTAGTACAAATTCCTAAAATACCGACAATATTTGATCTGAGAACTTCCCACCAGAACAATACAGATGAAGATATTAACCCAAGTAATTCCTTTAATCTTCATCTTCTATGCGTTGTATTCCTTCAGGACGTGAGCAATTATAGCTCTCCACAACTTCCTGTCTTTTGTAGCTCTTAACAATGTTTGTCTTTTAGTATCTTTCGCGCTCCCTGTTCTCCTATCCATTAACACAAGCACGTTAAGTAGTTTTCATGCTGCTTCCATCTATTTTCTTAATCATTTCATCTAATGCAAGGCAGTAAAGCCATCAAGACACAAGAGGTTATTGAGTGCGAAAGAATAAGAAAAAAGAGAAACATTATAAAGAAGTGAGAAGAATAAAAGAGAAGGAATCCGGAAGACAGCAGATAACGATTGGCATTGCATTACAATTTTTGAAGATCAAAATCGGCTGGAAAGTATAAAGCCGACTGAAATTTCTACAAGCAACAAGAAGACATTGTTAGCATAGAACTTACGGTTGCATCAAGCCAATTCAACTGTAAATTGGTGATATCTTCTTGCTAATCTAGTACTGCGTTTAAAAACCTAAAGTCTGGGTAATATAGCGGAAAGTTCATCAGAACAATTACCGTGTAAATATTTATAGAAATGGTACGGGGAAATTACGTTACGGCGGTGAGGAAGCGACTAAAGCCGAGATGCCAGGTCAGGTCCAATAATATTGCGGATTCTTTTTTTTAATTTTATCAAGAATCTCTAAATATATAACAAGAGCACGTAGCAGTAATATTTAAAGCATGGGTGCACGGTAGACTTATAGATATGTAAGATAGATTCTGGAAAGAAAAAAATATCTAGCACAACAGAGTAAACCAAAATTTTTAGCAGCAGCAGACCTAGCGAATGATTTGATATAATCTTTCTACTTCATGTCAGCAGAGAATGTTTGCCCGAGAAAGTGCCACGAGTCCCTTTCCTGGATAGTATGCTGATGGAAGGCAAAGAAGCGTCTCTCAGATGATTAATAGAGTTTCGTTTTGCTGGCGTTTTTGATATGTTATGTGAACGTCAAATTTTTAAAGTTTGCTTTTCTCATTCTGCGTCCATGAAATTTTAACAGAATTTCTTTCTGACTTTAAGTATAAATGTCTTTCTTTTTTCCATATTCTTTAAAACTTCCTTGTTGCTCACATGTTCTGTCCGTGATATTCTCAAAATCCTTTAGACTTCCGGCTATATCCCGCTGAAACACCGGTTCTCGTGCAATCAGCGAAGTTAAGCAACATTGACCCTCTTCAGAACCTAGATCGGTGACCGCTTGGGAATACCAGGTGTTGCAAGCTTGGATGTATGCGTGGTGTAATGGAAAACGGGTCGGAATTGTTAATCGAAGTGCAGAGTTCCAATTCCTGTCGGGTTCGTTATATTCAGTTACGCGTAAATACCCTTGAGGCAGATGTGAGTTCACTTCTTTTGTTCCAGCTATGGGTTAATTAGTTAGACTTGTATCAGTAAATCATTATTATCTTAAAATATTTTCTGGCTTTAAATAACCCGCAAGGGGTTGATAACTGATAAAAATCAAATCGATCAATCAATCAATCAATCCCAGCATCCCTCTGTAAAATAATGCCTATGTTGCCTCGTTTCTTCATCATCTTCATTCGTCATATAGAGGAATTACGCAGTACTTCAACAATCTTTTCTTTGTTTCTAATGAAAATAGCAATATTTACTCTTACGACTATGAAAATGCCTACGCAGTATTTTATCGTTTTGTGTGTGTGCGTGTGCGTGTGTGTGTGTGATTAACTTTTAACATTTTCTTTTGAATTAAAAAAGCGTCGGTATGATCATGTAGCGTTTGACCTGTGTCCAACCCAATTCTGTGTTACTGAGGTGCACCTATAATTTTCTCGGGTTCAACCTACGCAGTCTCCCCACCCTCGTAAAAAAAATGCCAACCTGCATTTTTAAATTGTGTTTAGCAAATTTCCAGTGATTTGCTCAATAATTTAACCCTTCCCATAAAAAAAAAGAGAGAAAAAAGTTTTTTGAAAAAATTGCTTAGAAATTTGTAAAAAAAAAAAAAAAAAAAAATAATGCAGATTTTTATTTTTAACACAGCCATGTATGTCTTTCGATGTATGTATTCTGTTTAAAATTCAGACGTCAGAGGAATGGTTGAAACGCTAGTTGATTTAAACTTCTTGAAATTATTCTTGAAATAACTTGTTTTATAAATTTGTTTAAAAAAGATATCATTTATATCTTGTTGTTGTTTTTCTTTCAAATCGAAAAGCAAAAACCTATCCCGTACGTACAGAAGTTAAAATAAATGAATTTTGTTGAGTCAACGTTCAATCTCCAATGCTTCAACCAAACGTTTCGGAAGTGAATCTTGACTGTTCTTTTCGGCCGCATATTTGAACAAATAAGGCAAATCGATTAAACCCCACAAGTCACTACTACTTAACATTTAAAGCATTTCCAGCATGAATAGCGATTTTATTAAGTATATAATTTTTCATCATCATCATCATCATCATCATCTTCTTCTTCTTCTTCTTCTTCTTCTTCTTCTTCTTCTTCTTCTTCTTCTTCTTCTTCTTCTTATTATTATTATTATTATTATTATTATTACTAGAAATACACGTAAAAATTTCCCGGTTTGCCAGTTTAAATTTCAGATGAATCTTAATTCTTAAGTTAATGATTGTATGAGCTCATGGTGACTTCTTCAATAAAATATTCGTAGAAATGTCCTTATCGCATCGTTAAATATTTTAGCTTTACCACTTTAATAAAAAATGCAATAACAAATCATAAATATGAATGCTGGTCGCTATTTTAAGAAGTAAGGGGGTACAAATGAAAAGATTTGAAATTGACAACATTTTCCATTTCACTGAAACAGACGTTAAACAATTCAATCTGCCCTTCTTCCCCTCTTTTTTTCATTTACTAACTCTAACAAAATTGTATCACTGATATGCCGTTTCCTTCTTTCCACGCGATCAAAACGTTATAGTCTATTTATTGGCAGGGGATAACGGTCGTGCTAACTAAGGGAAGGACAAGAAGAATTATAATAAGATTATTATTATTATTATTATTATTATCAGTTTTGAACAGAGCTGCACATAGTATCAGGCCTTAGGAGAGATGCACGACTTGTTAAATCAGGCTACAGGAAAACAGATGTGTCTTATTAAAGGGTATATTTAGTGTAGCTTATCTTAAGTCTTCCAAACAAAACCTGCTCATGTTAACAGCTCCCATCAATTAAGATCAGGAGCCGCGTCTGGTGCAGCATCAGGGAATTTATTATTGTTGATGTTGTTCGGTGAGAAATCAGTACGTTAGCAAATTGGTGCTGAGTACATATATACGAAGCCCAATATATCTTTGATGTCACCCAATCTGATACGGTTATTACATGTGTACACGATATGGTGACAGGTTTTGGGTGGTGTTCATACCATTTTCTTTCAGTTTCCTTCTCGTAGAAGTTGCAAATTTTCCAGTGCAGATATTGGCCCATTCTGTCATGCCGGGTTTTTTTATTCAGTGGGTGCCAATATCGTGCAACCTGATACAAGATGATCAATCGTTTCCAGATATTTGGCACAGAACCTGCATTTTGGGCTAACACAATATTTTAGTATATGTGCTTGATAATTCCTAGTTAGGAAGCATTGGTCCTGTGCAGCAAGTATAAAACCTTCAGTTTCAGCTTTTAACCCTGCACTACGTAGCCACTGATGGGTACGGGTTTTGTCTACGTCAGCTTGTTTGGTACAGGCAGAGTATTGGCCATGAAGCGGTTTATCTTGCCATCGCTTCTGTATCTGGTCGGTTGCATTTGTCTTTGCTGTCTTTTTTTAAGTATTTTGCAGTTGCAGCCGGTGTATTGTGCTGTACTTGCATTTCTGCGCCCATAAAGACATTATTATTATTATTAAGGATATTATTATTATTATTATTATTATTAATATTATTATTATTATTATATTTTATTATTATTATTATTATTATTATTATTATTATTATTATTATTAAGGACAGTATTATTATTATTAAGGACATATTACATATTCTGAAAAAAATATCCAGAATTCGCCGACCATTCAACCCTTAAAAGGCATGGAGATAATTATGTATGCAAATTATTAACGTCCTCCACCCTGAGTGGGATGCACAGAATGACAAGTGCCTCCCATAAGATTTGCATTAAACTATTTGATAAATTGTTCTTACTAACTAATCAACTAACACAAAATTTCAAGATGAGCCCGTCCCCTTCATGTTACTGTCTTTCCAATTGCATTCCATTCGCGCTAAGTTTCCTTCGCTTTGTCGCGTTAGTTAAAAGCGACGTTTGTACAAAGATTTTTATTTTTTATATATTGTTATACTCGTATGAAATTTTTAAACATAACTTGACGAAGACAGAGATACTGTCGAAATGTGGTTAAATATCTTTAAAATTTTCCTTTTCTTTTCTTAAATGGCGCTTATTATTATTATTATTATTATTATTATTATTATTATTATTAGACTCTCTCTGATTCTTTGTTCTTTCGGCCGAGTGATGATAGTCATACCTCAGCTCCTACTTTTCCTTTTTTTTTAATTATTTCACCCCAAGCAAGGCGGTAATGCCACTAGTGCACATACGGTTACAGAGAATGAAAATGAAAGAGATGACTTAGAATAGACAGGATTGAGGAGAGGACTAAAGAAAAACGGAATTCAAGAAAACAGAAAATGGCGATTGATGTTGCATTTAAATTATTGAAGATTGTAGTTATCAAGGAAGCAAGTAAATGGAAGGGAGTTCTACAAGTGTTAAGTACGAGAAAATAAACTGTTGTGTTAGAAATGGCAGTTGCATTTATTTCAACAGTAAAATGATGGCACCTTGATGCTTATCTAATAGAACGCTTAAATTCATGTAATAATGGCAGCAGGGAAAAAAATCTCGTCACAGCAGTTGCCATGAAAATATTTGTAGAAAAGACAACGGGAAGCCACGGCACATCGGTGAAAAATTAATGAAGCCTGTTCAGGATCGATTACAAGGAATACTTTTAGCTATTCCAAGCAGCCCTGATACCAACGTACTCCCAATGATATTAGGTATCTTTAAGGTGTCTTGCAAGGCGGGAAGATTCCTAAAACAGTACAATTCTCCAATTATCCATGTCAAGTCTTGGTAGCTCTGTATTTTCGCCTTCACGATATTCTTATACCAAGGCATCGCAAGACCTGTCAGGATTCATTCATATCTGCTCTTGGGCGATTATTCTCCAAGTGCTTATCACTCAAGACGGTCGGATGTAAAATAAGCTTCACTGATTCATTCACGTCTACTGACGCTGATGAATTATTGTGCTACTTGTCTGTACACTCGAGGTTATACTTCCTACATAGTCCTCAGTGTATTCAACGTATTATTATTATTATTATTATTATTATTATTATTATTATTATTATTATTATTATTATTTATTGTATTGACTGATTTTTTTTCTCTCCAGTTTTAACTCGTTGTTTTCACTCGAGATCAAGTGACAGCAAATATCAATATTCTAGAGTTTTCTCCCGTATTCGTTTTTAAATTATGTATAGTTTGTCCAGCTTTGCGCTTTCAATTTTAAACTATGGTCAGCTGGAATATCAAAATCGACTATAGTTCTGATTGTTCAATTTTCTTCGGGTATATAATCGATTTTTGATATGGTTTTTTCTCCTTTTTTTTCTTTGTGAGTTATACACCTGAAGATGGCGGGAAAATAGATGAAACGAAGTTGTAACATCAAGAACGCAAAGAAATTAATTTTTCCGAAGTAAATTTAGAATGTTTATGACTCTCCTTAAATTGATAGCTGACACTTGAAATTTGGATATAATTTTATCACCACACCCAGGTCTTGTGCTGCTAGGGTGGGGTGCCATGTGGGTTATCAGAATGTACAAGATTCAGGTTTTTTTTTTCTTTTTGTTAAAATATATTTTACCTGTTACTGTTTGTTTATAGATTTTAAACGGAATTCTAATCCATAATTATTTCCATCATATTTCTATTATACCTGTCAGTCTTTTCCCGCCAAATCTGCCATCGACTGAACGAATGGATGCCGGAACACTCATCCGCGTAGATACAATCTCTTCTTGACATTGTAATTATAAAAGTGATCTCTATGAAGAAAACAGATTCTTTTTAGTACCTTTTCAAGAAGAAAAAATATCAGGGTTACCTTGCCGCCTAGCCTACGAATCAAAATTGATGATATGTTCCGGACCATTTAAAAACAATTAACCCTTTTTTTTTCTTC